GCGGCGGCCAGCAGCGAGCCGGGCCGTGTCGTGTCCCGCGGCCCCCTCCCGTGCTGCCGCGCGGAGTGACAGCCGCGGCGCGCGCTCCCGAGCGGCGCCGGCAGCCTTCGGGGTGACGGTTCCTTCAATACGCGGTATTTACCACGCGGGGCGCTTGGAGCGCTGCGCGGCGAGGGAAGCGCTGCCTCGGGGGAGGCCCCGGGGAGGCCCGGAGCAGGCCGGGCTGGGCGCGTTAAAGCGGCGGGGCCGGGGAGCACCCGCGCCGGCCGCCCGTGGGCACATCGAGCGGGACACCTCGCCAGGATGGGCACCTGGCGGCCGCCATCTCCCATGGGACACCGAGGTCCCTCGTGGCCGCCTGCCCGCGCGGTTCGGGGTTTGCAGCCTCCCGCTGCCCCCGTGGCCCTGTCAGGGCAGGGCCTCGTGCACAGCGGCCGTGTGTGGGGCCGTTGTGCCCCTTGGGGCGCGGGCAGCCCATGGCCACACGCCGCACGGTCGGCCCCGCTGCAGCAGCAGCGTGGCTCCCAACACAGAGTGGCGTGTTGGGTAAGAGAGCCAGGATGGTACCCAAGATAGGCAAAGATGTTACAGCCCGGTTTCAGTCATTTCCCCGCTCCAGCCATCAACGTTTTCCTTTTGGCCAGGTTGCGTCTGAGTCAGCTGATTGTCCTGCAGGTGCTGACAGCACTTTGCTCTCCTTGAGAAGGCAGCAGCAGCAGCGGTGTCGGTAGCCAGCGAGGCGCTGCTGCAGCTTCAGCATGTTCAGGGCGTCAGAGCTCGTGCTCCCTTGGCAGATAACGCAGCATAGACTCCATTCGTGAGGCCTCAGGCAGCTCCTATAGCTGTTCCCGCCCCATGGGTTTGTCGGGAAGGGCTGCCTGGCCCTTGCATGTGCTCCACAAAGCCCTATATAAACACCCATAGCGTACGTACGTGTATATGCACTGCAGTGCCTTCTCAAATAAGCACACCTTCTGTATACACATAGGGTGCCGATGCATTTACATAAGCACTTGCACCCAAGCACTCTTATATCCATAGCTGTAACATATATGCAAAGTTCGCTAATTCACAGTGATGCAAAACAGATGTAAAACTTCCACAATGCTCATGCTAYGTGTTTAAGTGAAGATTACCGAAGCAAGGACCCAGAGCTGGACCTCCCAACCTTTGTGCTACAGATATAACGTAAGACATATTAACACAGTAATATTTGTGAATCAGCTGGGGAACATTTGTGTTACAGTATGTTGGTTTCATTAGCATTCAGAGCAGCAGTTTCTATTCTAGCCCTCCTGCTTGCTAATCAGTCTGCCTGAACTAGCTCTTATAAATTCCTCTTGTGCTGAAGTGCCTCACATTGCAGCTCAGGCAAAAGCACTTTGTGTCTAAAGTTTCTTTCAGCATAATTGGTTAAACAATCAAATCATGCAAATATGAAAARTGTTATATTTGTATATGTTAGAATAACTCCGTAAAGTTGCAAACTAAACATTTAAAATTTCGTTTGTTTTGCTGCTCTCTGTAAGATTTTGTTTGAAAATCTATATGCTAAGAAAGTCAGCAGTTTTTGAGCTATACAGACTCTTGGTGATGTCATTTTGGTGAGGCACAGTGGGTTTAAATTCTWTTATTTTTTTTGTTGGGTGGTATCATTTAGGGTCATCCCCGTAGGACCAATCTGCTGTGATAAAGCTTGGAGCTCTCTGATGAAACCAGTGTGTTGCTCTCTACCTAGACTCAGAAATAAGAAGGTCAGTTCAGGACAGGGAAGAAAGATACATTTCTGTTAAAGGCTTTCAYGTCTGCTTTTAGAGGAAATCACTTTTTTAATGTAGTAATTATTTTTGGAGCCACATATCCTTTCATTCACTAATCATGACAATTACTAGACGAGATGGCAGCATTTCTCTAGCAACTACAGCAGTTGTTTTCAATATAGATTTGAAACAAGTCACTAAATTTAAATGGTTACGCATCTTACTTTTGGCATGCCGGCCCTAAAAGGAATTGGTATATATAGCTTCATGATGTTGCCCATATGGTGCTGGCATTCACACTGGTATTTCTCATCCTGAGGATGTAGGCTGTGCTCAGGCGTGGATATTTACCCACCTTAGCTGCCTTTCTCTTTCTGTGGCCAGTTGCATTGCAGCAGAGCCCATAAACTGCAGGGTGAATGACAAGACTGTGTCTTTGATGGCCATTCCCCCGGTCCTGCGCTCCTGCACCTCTTAATGCCTCTGCAACCTCCTTCTCTGCTCCTACCTAGGGGCTCCGTTTCGACACGTACCCCTTTGATTTTCCCTTCGGGCTTTTCCCGGCCACCAGCGCCTTTCCTGCAGCAGCCACTCTCTGCTCTGCTGGCCTGGCCTGGTTTTCTAATGTGGTGCCAACCACGCAAGAAGCACACGCGTCTGTTGGAGAGTATAGAGGGAATTTTCCAAATCCTCAGTTTTTCACCCAGAAATAGAAGTAGTCATCACTGCAGCATAATTTAAGATCTGCCAAGAATATTCTGAGTGTGTCTTTTTTCTTTTTTTTTCCCCGATGTTGTAGCCATAGCTCAAATTTACCCGTTTCTTTAAGCTATACGTTTGCCTGCTATCTTGCTGAATAGCAATTTGTCATTTTTTTCTGTGGATCGTGGGTATCCTCCTCCTGGGGGGTGGTGGGTTCTGTCTTGTSATCAATATCCTACTGAGCAGACACATTTTTTTGCAGAGATAAATGACACGCTTGTTTAATGGTGAAGTGCAGCAGTTTTTGTCCTTGGTCTCATCCGACCATCTCGTCACAGGAGAAGGGCTGCTGTCCCTGGCTGTCAGTCAGACCGCACTTCCTTCACTTGCTTATTATCGTGCTCTGAGTTTTTCCATGCTCACAGAAGATAATGCCYGCAAAGCGGTGGTTCAGCAGGAATAGGGAATAGCTGTTAAGGAAAATTCTTACYGGCCTGCCTCTGTACCTGACTTCATAATCCAGTTGCTGGTATCATCCAGCTCATTTTAAAGTTTTCCTTATGCAGACTTGGAGAAGTCCTTCACTTTTCTACTCAAGGGTTCCATTTTTTTTTGCATTTGTGATTGTGTTGCGATAGGAAAAACAAGGTGTTTTATACTCTTGTTGATTTGCTTCTTTTCACAATACCCAATGACATACAAAAATCAAAAGTAGAGACAAATACAGTTTTTAATTGCACATTTTGTTCTCATATTTTTAGCAGTTCAGCAATATATCTGAACTGTTGCACGAGCTACAAAAAAAGTCAATGTTATTCCTATGTATACCTGTTTACAGAAATATATATTAGAATACTTTCAGGACAGCTAACTTATTGTTTACGTGATCACTGTTATTTACGTGCTCACTGTATACTACGTTAATGCTTGCACTTACTACATTTCGAAACTTCGGATTACTTGCCTTTTAAAGAATAAAAATTAAAAACAAAGAACAGTGACTTTTTGGYTTCTCTTTTTAGGGCTTTTCTATAGAGATCTGCATGTTAATTACAGCTATATATTTGACGATTGTACTATATTAAACTCTGTATATTTTTCTTTTATTCGGAATTAAAAACTTAATTCAATTTAGTTGAATTCATGCTGGAAGTATAATAGGCTTTTTTAAGTGAAGATCACTTTAATCCTAATTTAGAGAGTCCACCTGAGTTTACTGGACTTGAAAGCGGGAGCTAAGTTTAGCCGTTCAAAATGGCAAGATTTTGTTTTTAATTTAAAAATATTAGTTAGTTCATGGCCTAGGACAGAGAAATTCCATATTTTATAGAGGCAGAGATATACTTACCTGTACGAGGTAGAGATACACTGAACTATAATTGACTCTCCAACTTTATAAGCTTCAAACTATTTTTGAACCATCATGTTCAATGTATGTAACTTTCATTGCTTTGTTTTGATCTARAGTGTAATTCTCCTCTTTTTTTCCCCTTTGGTAACAGTTTCACGGCTATCCTCTGCTTGGTTTCTGAAATCCATTAAATATGCCAAATGCATCAGAACTTGCTATTTTCAGACAGAAAACCTCCTTCTGGTTAGCTGCTTCTAACACCTACGGCTTCCAGATGTACATTCAAGTGTTCTTTCCTTCTTTCCTGTAGTTTCTGGTACTTCCAGTGTTTCAGCCTTGAAATGCTCCAATCTCTTCATAGCTTGTTTCTTTCATTTCCTTTTATTGCTAGTACCATGAATAATTCTAGGCTTAGAGAATTAAAATAAATGTTCTTTAATCGTATGTGCCTACAGTGCCTTTTCCTCACTCTTACAAGACAAGATACAAATAGTATCATATTTATAGATGAGCATTTATTGAATAAAATGTAATTCATGAAAGCAACAATCAGCAAGAGGCCACTTTGCATCTGGAAAAAAAAAGCAGCTAATAAACAGACTTGAAAAATTTGTTTAATTTTTTGTAATCTAATTTTGGTTTGTTTGAAGAAGCTAGAAGCAGAAACCTGTCTGGTGCTAGATGACAATAAGAACATATTAAACCTCAGGAATATCTGAACCAGGAATATCTGAACCAAACTTTTAGTCCTCTTTTGGAGTTGGATGGGACTTGGAGAGTAACAAGTCTGCCCTTGTCTGCTCAGGAACAGATACTGAGAACTTTTCCCTTATTTTACAAAAGGAAACAAGAGCCTAGGAAAACCCCCAACTGTCCCGGGACAGAAAGCTCTCTCCATTCCTCTTTTCTTCTCAGGGATTCCTGACCAGATAGCTCAAATTCTCTTATATTTCCTGTGTCCGACATCCGCAAGGAAGGAGAGGCTCACACAGCTCTGCCTCAGTGGTCAAAGCTTGTGTGCGGTGAGTGAGGGKTTTTTTTTCTGGTTTGTTTTTTTCCCTTTCCTGGCTGACCCCATGTACTTAATTGATCAGCAGATATAAATTCCTGTTTTCTTTCAATTTGTGCCCTACTTGATCCTATAACCTTCACACAATAGATTTTTTTTTTTTATTGGTTTGATGGCTGTTTATCAATAAGAGGTATATCTCTAAACTGCTGAAGTTCCGGGACTCCCTTTTTGCTCTTAATCGGGGCAGAGAACAGATGGGAACTTGACAGGATTATTTCAGAAAAGATCCTCCAAAGCCTTGATTACAGAACAGATATAGACACTCTGAAATGATATTTTATGTGGTTAAAACCAGAATTATTCTCTTCTCTTTAAGCCTTTCAAAGACATGCCTGAACCAAAGGGCCCCATTAAGCTCCAGTGTAATTGAGCGCAATTTATTGATACTTCCAGCATGATGGTTTCTGCTTACATCAATGCTGAATTTCACCCAGAGAGKGTTTGGAGTGATGAGAATTAGAAAAAAGATTATACTATATGAAATGCTGTGTTATGCCAGCACCATACTGCTACAGCTTGTAAAATCACATTGCTTTGTATAATAAAAGATGTTTACAGCAGCAATGAACTCAAAGCAAGCACATAGCGCATGTTGGGTGATATATAAAAATAACAAGCCATCTTGCTGGGCATTTGATTTTCAGGGGATAATCCTAGACAGCGCTCTGAAGATTAGAGAGAAGGGAGGGAAGACGCTGTGCGAGGCTGGCAGGARCTGCCTGAAACACCACGGCCTACTAGGAGGTGTGGGCGCCGCTGGGAAACGTCGCGTGGGTTTTGCTAACGTGCCGAGCAGATGGCTTATTAGGAAAGAGAGGGGTGTTGCTCTTTGAAGCGAGAAACATATATGGGCTGATTCCACAAGAGAGAATCCTGGGGGAATATAAAGCGCAGGGAGAGAACTTGAGCTGAACCTTGTTATTTCACTGGCAACGCTCTTATTTTTAGCGTCAGACTCTAGGAAATGGGTGATTTCTTACTGCACAGACTATATTTAGACATAGTTTCATAGAAAGCTGAAAAATGCACCTAAATGCACCTGTTAGAAAAGTGTAATTGACAACCCAGTAAATATACTGCAAATTGAATGTGCAAACAGAAGAAAATATGCTTTGAATCACCAGGTTTCATACTAGACATGCTGGGTTTGCTTCAAAGTTCTGAACCTCATGATTGTTATTTTCAAAATTTTGAACCTTATTGTGACTTTTTGGCACTCTCAGCACTAAGACTTGTACAACACATTTCAGAAGCAGAGACAAAATGCAACTAGAGGTTTTCCAGGCCACAAGAAATTATGCACCCTACTGCACCTTTGTAAACTTATAGTTGAACAGCTTTGGATTAGGGGGGATTTCATTTCCAAATCTATATTGTGACTTTGAACAAAGACCAGGAAACCTCTTTGTCCCCTTTAATTTGTCCCCTTTGTAATTTGGAAAAAAATATATTTACTGATTTTGACTTGCATTATATATATATATATACACACATTTAGCATGCTCATAATTATTCAGGGAATGTATTAATAATAACAAGAAAGGAGGAGTAGGAACCATGCTCAAATAAATAATCAACCTTTCTCTGAAGGTCAAGACTGATTATCAACACTGCTATGACTACTGAATGTCATAATAATATATACAGTACATGGATGGAGTAATTGTAAGGAAAAAAAACAGAAATATCATAGAAAAAAAAGGATTTATGTGAAAGGGCACATTTTCATTCATGATTTCTACATTTTTGTTTTGTCTATGTTTATTTGTGAATTCATAAGATGATCTTCGTGCCATAAAAGCTGTCTCTTATTGCTGGTTTTATTTACACTAGCAATTATTTTGAGACACATCTGTAGTCTCAGAGGTGTCAATGTTCAATACTTAGCTCAATGTTCAATAAACCAGCTCAATATTCAAGATAAAACTTTTCTATTTAATTCTCCTAATCAGGCATCTGGGCATCTGTTCTCGTTTCTCGATGACTTTTGTTAGTGCCCACATTTCAAGGCAGAGGTAGCGAGGACCATCTACTCGCGCAGTGATTCCAAATGCAGATTACATCAGAACAGTGAACGCGATCGGCTTCTGGCAAACAGCAGCGAAAAGGACATTCTGGAAGAGGTTAGTGCTGCTGCCTCCCAGGAACGGAGGGAGTGGAAGTGTTTGTGCTGTCACGCTCCGCTCCTCGGAGGGCGGTCAGGCCACGGGCTGCGCTGGCTAAGGCACCGCGCTCCCCGGGACAGAGAGGGCTTCCACCCCCCGCCCCTGTTCGAGTGCACAGCTGCTTTCACGGAAATTGAGGCCTGTCCTCACAAACACTTACCTGCGCAAACAAGCACGCGAATTTCGGGGAGATCCTGCTTGTGGGCAGAAGTTATAGCTGCACTTCTTTTTTCTTTGACAAGCCTAAAAAAGTTCTTGGGACTAAGAAAATAATTCCTACATATCAGTAAATGTATAATATAAATTATAATCAAAAYAAATTTAAAATACTCTGTCCATAATGATCAGGAAATCCTTCAGTTTTACAAATTCTACATCTTGTACTTCACAGGAGAAGATGATTTTACCACACCTTAGGTTTCCTGAAAAATATTTCATCTGATTTTCTTTCCTTATCAGTCACTACAGTATTTGTAAAAGCCCATGATCTTTCCCCATTAAAATGACAACTTACCTCTGAGGAAGCTCTTCGCAGCCAAAGAAACAACACTCATCAACTCACAGTTAAAATAGTGGTCAACTTTACTTGCTTCATGTATTTAACAGACTTCAAGTTACTGCCAACAGTCATTCCTTTTTTTTTTTTTTTTTCTTTTCCTTAGAAGAACAGGGCAGTTTTCGACCAAGGCCACTG